ATTGCTAGGGCAACACTTTTACTCACTTGATGTTTCGACATCCGCTGCGGATTCTTTATCAAAGACATGAGCAGAAAGCAGTGATACGTGCACTCACATACTGGTGGGATCGCCAACAGCAACAGCCCTGATACTCACACGCACACACACAAGAGACTGCCGCCGCCAGCTTACCGCTCCGCATCCTTCCACGGCTGCATGAGCAGGCGAAGTTTTGTCCCAGCGATCGAATCTTCTTCTCAATTACTTCCTGGGACTCGTACGTTCGTTTGTATTGGCAAACACCAATGTTGTTCCCGTCTACGTGACGTTCTTCCGTGGCTTCCTCAATGTGCTCTCCAACTTATTTGCATCCAAATCGTCCGTTTTCATAAAAAAAACCTAGTGAATTTTGTGCAGCGAGGTCTTGTGTTGCACGCTTAGATGGTTTGTTTAACTTTGTCGGCCACTGCCCCGGGCACCTTGACATTATCTTGCTATCGGAGCCGAGGAGATGAGAAGAGCGAGAGTACGGCGGATGCTGCACAAGGCAGCCGCACTAATTCACTCGCAGGTCGCGGGTTCTGCGCTCGCTTTGTGGGGCATGCGTGGATGCGCGATGGTTGACCTGTCATCTGGTCCGTTGTTAAAAAAAGAGCTTTCGATCGCAGCTGCTGTTCAAGGTTGTGCTTGGAGGAATGAAGACACAAAGTCCGAACAGTTCTGTATAAATTTACCCCCAAATGCTGTCATCCCTCTCTGCTATTATATCTTGGTCAGCTTCGGCCTGGCAGACGTTTGCCTGTTCGTGACCCCTATCACCTACACGAAGTTTGTTTATTTCGGGAAGCCAATTGCGTCGGTGTGAACCCATTTGCACGTCGATGCTACTCACAGGGCTTTTAGAAGTTTTTGAGGGTGAATACGAATAACTCGCGATATCTCCATCATTTTAAGGATTCAGATGGGTAGGTTATCCCTACTAGTAGCTCTTCCATATAGTTGTGTATGCTGGCCTTTTTCTTGAAAGGCAAGTTAAATCAGGTGTTTGAACATTGTTACCTGAGAACGATCCTTCGAGTGAATTACACCGACTTCTCCTATGGGATGCTCAGCACTAACCGCAAAAGCGGTAGCGAACGGAAAGGACTCAGAATTTTAGGGATGTATTGAACTCTTCAACCATTTAATTGTCTCCCCTTTCACTTTTTATCTGCCTCGCGCTCAGATCCAAGGACAAACGTGATGTTGACGTCATTCGTGAACACAATCGTTTCTTGTGGACGGAAGCAGACGTTCCTCGCACATGGTACGTGTCACAGTTCTTCCATGTCAATTGACGTAGCCTTATTGTCATTGGCCGGACGCCCCTGGCAGTTGTATTCTTCAACCACATCCAACCCAGCAGCAATTTTTGTTTTTATATTTCCCCCCGAAACCATGCTTTCACTGCTCCATATGGGGTGTATTTGTCATAAATGCAATTCTCCTTCTATTCTACTTCGAACGGGTTGGACTAACCGCCGCTCAGTGCCGCATTCTGCTTGTCGCGTAGGCCATTGATTTGGACGTTACACTGCAACACTGAAGAGACTCACACGTATTTACACGCCCGGGTGGCTTTCTTGAATCAATCTTGTCCCACATCAGTACACTCGATATTCATTACACTTTATTTAAGAGTGCCTCGGCATGTACATTAAATTTTCATTTTCGTGCTCTGGTAGAGGGTTTTCTTAGGTGACCCCTTCTGACCAAAAGCAAGTTTACCTGCGTTCTTGTTTTGTAACCTTTTCCGTTACCTGCATTCTGTTAAAAAAATAAACACTGAGACCCATACTACGCCTCGCGCCTTCTATGTGTGCATTAGTTCTATGGAATTATGACGGACCCAGCGTACTCCACTTAGCTGCCAAGGGTGCTTTAGCAGTGCAAGAGAACGAGTGTCAATATCTCCCGACCTAAAACGGTAAGACAACGAGCTCATAGCTCAATGGCTAGGGTGTTTGACTCTGATCAGAGAGGTCGCGAGTTCGAAGCTCGGGTGGGACGCCAATTGGGTGTGGGTATAACT